ATAGGTAGATGGGGAACAGGAGTGGCAGGTAGAAGAGCTCTTGGACACTAAGTTCATTAGGAACTAATTACAATACCCAATCTAATAGCAAGGAGATGAAGAGGCTATATGGGAACCCCCAACAAAGTCAATAGACTTCAAGCCCTGGAGCGGTTCCATGAACACTACCCTTATAAACCAGGACCCTTACCAGAGTAGCGCGCCTCAGGAGACTTCAGTCTTGGAAGGGGTGGGCTAGTGTCATGGCCACCCAGCCATGTAGGAGGGACAACCATTAGACTTTTGATTGCATCTATTAGTAGCGGTTTTCCAGGTTGTATAGTTGGATTTCCTTTGTATAAGTGACTGGAACATGTTGTTGCGCAACGGAATAGGGCGGAACTGGATGGAAGGATTGCGGCTGCACACGACGGCAAGGATTTTCTTTCATATTAGTGATCATGGAGGATTTTCTTGATATATAAAAAGGTGTACCCCTTTATATTTTACTTTCTTTATGCAATTTGATAATCTTCTTCAGATACCAGTACCTAGGAAGTACATTCTGTTATACTCCGCGTCCTCGTGAACCTCTGAATACTAACCCTGAACCCCTGACCCCCAAGCCTTGTATAACTTGTTCCGGTTGAACCCACGTACCGAGTCCTCATCTACGAACTCCTACCTGCTCCAATCCTGATGTAACTTTGGCTACTCGACCCTCTGACACTGTTCATTATAGTAGTAGGACAGGAGTGATCCCCAGTAGGATGAGGGGGAAGGTAACAATGGCAGTTCGCTTTGTTAGTATAGGAGGGTTGCCAGTGTGTCCCTGATTCCTACAGGTCTCAGGTCTGAGACTGGATAGCTTAAGTTCGCTACATTCTTTCTCTTCCATTGGCTGAGGGCTTCGGCTCCTCAGTTTTACATCTTTCAGGTTCGAAATGCTCGGTTGCTCATTGTCTACGCGTTATTCCTTGTCCACCCATTTCTCACCATACCGTCCAGTCGTAGGCATTTACAGTGTCTTTTAGGTCTCCTCCCCGCCTGCACATGTGGTGGAGATGGCTTTGACTCTGAGATTTGTCCCCCCCCCTGATTATATGGGTTGGTGTGGGGTGATTGGCTCTCAGTCCCCCTGGTGGGGGCTGATATGTGCCGGCCTGATTGGGAACCTGGCTGTGGCTGGGGTTGGCAGTCACACTCATTGCAAGTATGGCACTCCTCCCTGATGGCTGGGAACCTAGTCAGGTTGTTTAGGGTTGGTGTTGGTACCACACCCCATGTTACCCCCAGGTGGGAGGCCAGCTCTGTGTTGTGGGGACTTTCTACTGTGGTAGATAGGATTGCTGGATAGTATTCAGACTGGATTTGTATATTTCATTTTTTTTCATTTTTGTAATAGTCACTGGCCATAACTGCCTTCCCCTTACTTGATGGGACAAAGGACTTCAGTCGCTCTGTTCCTGTCAGGTTGGATGTCAGTTTGGCAGTTGGTGTGAGGGAGGCGAGGGCCGGTAATGGGTTCCTGTACTTAGCTTTCCTGTGGGTTCGCTTACGAGGTGTTTATGGTTGGGGCTTGGAGGCTTTGATGCTTTGTATGGTAGTTGTTATTTGGAGGAGCATGCCGGTGTATTGTGGAGACCCCAGCTCCAGGCTGTCACTTCGGTGATGGTGCCAGCCCTGATTAAGGGACCGGCTGTAGTCCTGCTCGAGTGTATGCTTTTAAGGCGGAACAAGTATAAATAATAAATTAGATAGAATTTGGACACCCTTTCTTACATGCCAGAGAATTATCTTATCCACCATGATACCTTCTCTTTGGCCTGACTAGGGTCAAAGTTTCTCCTCATCACCTTCATCATGGGGTCATCACCCCCTCTCATTCCACTCCCCTCCACACAGCCTGATAGGGCTTTGCAGAGTTGCTTATCACCTATCTTTGGCCTCAGGGCCCCCCCTCGCTTAAACAGCCATGTAGTGGTACCACCACCAGTCTACCACAATACTCAACGGATGACTTTAAAACCCCTAATAGGGCCTTCATAAGTATGTTCGATGAGTTCATTGAATTACAAGGGTTTGAAGCACCAAACACTTTTGGAAAAGCCTTTCCGATCTTAATCCATGTAATACAAATATTGCATGAAGACAACAGGAAGGCGACTGATGGGCTAACCGAGCACATCACCACCCTTACTGAGGAACTGGATGCCCTTCACGCCTCCACACTATCTCAGCCTGCTCCTACCACTGCCCTACTGGTACCTCCTACTACCGATACTACGGAGCAGTCTTCTGTCCCTCCTCTACCCTCTATCCTTCCTCATACCCAACCTCCTGGCCTGGCAGCTCCCCCTTCTTGAACTATGGTAACTCGGAAGGCAAGGAAGCCTTCCCAGAAACCCATGAAGCCTGGCCCCAAGCCAGCCAAATCCTCCTCTACCTCAGCTAAGCCCCTTACCGACAAGAAAAAGGGCCTCACTATGTGCGAGTGTTGGCTCATCATCAAACAAGATGCTACTCCCCTTACCATTACTGCTATACAGCTATGTGAAGGTATCAACCAGGCACTGGCCTCTACCCTCATTCAGTCTGTTTCCTTTTAGGATGGGCATGTTACTCTCATGACTATGGACATGGTTCAAGCCACAACAGTCAACAGCAAAGTTGGCCTCTTTTGGTACCTTATTTCTGGTGCCTCTGCCATTCATCTCGACACCCGTACCACCCAGCTTCTGGCACATGGCATTGCTACCTCTACTTCTCTGGTTTCTCTCCCACAGGAACTTACTACATTCAACTCTGGCTTTTCTCTTACTGAACAGCCAAGGTGGCTAACCTCTGATCTAGCACATATTGGCAAACTTGCCTTAACTGTTGTTATTTCCATTACTGGACCTAAGGCTCCCTCTTTCATTGGGAAGTGCCTCTCAGCCTTCTTCCATACCTACCAAACCTAACACCACCTGCACTTCAACAAATACATCCAGTGTGCCAATTGCTACAAGTTTGGTCACTACAGCATCAAATGCATCTTGCCGGCTTCCTGCCACTGGTGCCTCCTCCCGTACTCTACTAGAGATCACTCCTGCCCTACCACTACCTGCCATCTTCACGGCTGTCCCTGCAGCCATACTATACCCAGGTGTGTGAACTGTGATGGCCCACATGAATCCCATTTGCTTGTCTGCACTTTTCACCTCCGTCCAGCTACCCAACAGTCTGAGGATTCGGGGGACCATGAAGACGAGGTAGACATGAACAGCTCTACATAGGTTGGAATACCTATAATGATAAATACCAACTTCTGGGGGGGCTTAGGATGGCTATTATGGGAAGGGGTCTAGGAAACTAGTTGATAAGAGGGTTGTTATGGTGCCTCTTTGCCCTGCGATCTGAATGCTTGATTGGGTTGCGGGTAGGCTTTGGGAGGGTGATTTCTTTTGTTCATAATTGCACCTTTGGGTGTGAGATTACAAGGTTGGAGCAGTGCTGCCAGTGGTAGTATTTTATTTGATTTGGTTGAGGTTCCCCTGGTCTGGCTAGATGGGGTGGATGGGTACCGGGCTGTTGATGGACTTGTACTTTAGCTTTGGTATTAATGCTCACTCACCAGAGCGGTTAACAGTACAGGGTTAGAGGATCAGTATCTTGTATTTAGTTGCCTGTTTTTAGAGGAGGTAGCAGGGCCCCAGTCTCATTGGTAGATCCCGACTGGTGTTAAGTTGCTGTCGGGGCAGTGCTCGATCATAAGCCATGTTTTGGTGCGATGAGTATAAATAAACTTAGATATTATTTGGACACCCATACCTAGGAATTACACCTCTCTTCTGCTTTACATCCTCTTGAACCTGTAAACCCTGACCATGAACCCCTAACTCCTAAACCTTGTACATCTCTGCTCAGTGGTACGCTTGTACCCAGACCTTGCCTCTGAACTCCTGCCTGCTGCAGTTGTAATGTGCCTTGGGCTACCCAACCCTCAGACCCTCTTCATTACATGAAGGCAAGGGGAAGTAGGGACTCTTGTGAAGGGGGTATAGGCTTTAGGGTCTGGAGATAGTGTTTCTTCTGGTATTTGTATGTGCAAGACTAGGTTGTTAGGAGAATAGCTTAGCCCATAGTTCTGCACAGTAGAGGTATGACTTTCTTTTTGTTCTTAGAATAGATGGTAACTATGGAGGAGGACAGAGGAAAAATCAACCACTATACCCCTATAGAAAACCACCTATTGTTTTATATATTTTTGCTTCTTTCTATCTCTTAAATTATACCGCATATCATTGGAGCACTTCTGCATCCTGTTAAGCCTCAATTTATCTGAGGGTACATTCATGGGATTATATGGAGGGCTCTACTCGGTCAGGCACACCATCCAATAAAAGGGAGGCCAAGGAAATGGTCCACACCGGTACTCGTACTCAAGCACAGTACTGGTGGTAGTCTACTAACCGTTTTCAAAAGTATTCGGATGGCTTGGCATCTTTTCGCCTGTCCCAGCGCTAAGTCATCCGGTTACTTTTGAAAACGGCTAGTAAGCCTATCATATCCTCGAGGGCGAGTGCGATCTGTTGCCGTCGCAACGGTATCGTTGTTGGAAAAAATCACATTTTCCCTGCTCCATACAGCCGCTAAACCTCTTTCCGCTTCGATCACCCAACACCCGAAATCTCGTTCGCTCGCTGACACCTCACCAAATCAACCCTAGCGAGAAGTTCGCTCCACCCATCAGCCAACCCGCAAAGCTTCCTTCCCCTTCACTTGGACTCTCTCTTCGTCCCGTCATACACCGCTCACGGTCTCCCCACACAAAATATCTTCTATCGATATCTGATAACACTAACATATTCCCCCTATTCTCGCTAACGTGCCCTCCCCCTCCCCCCCCACCTCTCCTTCCTTCCCTCTCTGGGTGCTACTAAACCACTCTGACCGCTGACCCCCCCCCCCCCGAGCCTGGTTGATCTACTGGTATACCGACAACAAACAATAAACAACTGCTTTTTTTTTCTTTTTTTCCTTCCTTCCCATTTTACTCAACGGTATTCAGCCCTGGAGACAGTCTTTGCTTGCTGCTACCCAAATGACGCCTCCTAGCTTCTCCTCTTCAATGCCTGGTGGCACCTTTCTTCCTGCCATCCCGAACTCGCTCCCTGCATATCCTAAGACCGTCCCAGCTCATGCCTTCCGTCATTCAAATCAGTCCCCCTCTCCGACCTTTGGACCAACCAGGAAACGTTTTCAAAAGGACAGCGGTTTCAGCGCCCACAGCCCCCCCCCCCTTTGAAGATGCTGGCGATTCTGACGAGGATGTGATGCGCAACAGCCTATACTCAGACAGCGCCTACCGATCAACTTTGGCTACCTCAAACTCCCGAAAGAGGGGCTTGGCAGATGACGATGTAGATGAATACGAACATCGGCCGGGCGCCCGTGCTGATGATGGAGCCGGGGATAGTGATCGGCCTGCCAAGCGGAGAATTATTGACGTTGTTGGGAGCGTTGCGAGTAGGGTATGGGAGTTTTGCAAGGCTAGAGTTCCGATTTATGGCCCGACTTCGAGGGTAACTGCTGCGGAAGTGGATATGAATGTTGATGAGCATTTGTATGACCCTGGGATGCCCAGCTATATCGTGACCGGTGCTCAACTTGGAACCGGTTTATACGGCAACCAACACATTATGGCCTCCTCGCCTCCCCGACCTGCAAATGCTGGTACGGGCAGGGTGAGTTCGGAGGAGCAGAATTATTTTTCTTCGCGGGATTTCTCTCCGAATAAACAAGTAGATGGTGGGTTAAGCTCCAGATGGGTTATGGTTTCCCCTGCGCCAACAGCCTCTACAGCTCCTCAACAACATAATAATAAGCCTTCGCTTTCAGCCTCTACTTCATCACCAACAGGTACACCTACACACCCCCGCCGTCCCCAATCATCCTCTTCCAAGCGCACCAGCCGCCCAATTATTGCTTCTTCAACTCGAAAGCGGCCTACGGTTGTCAGGCCTTCACACCAACGATCTCACTCGTCGTCCACAATCACCTCTTCAGCCTTTGCACCACCGCCACCGCAATCAGCCTTCACGTTCCACAGTTCTCCTATCAGCGGCGGTGCATCGATGGCTAATACTCGGGGAAGGCGAAAGGGACGCATCCCCGGTCTAGCAACAGCACCATCACATGACGATGATGAGGAGGATGAATCGATGCGGAGATTCAACGAACGCCTCCGTGACATGATACGAGAGGGCCGGGAAGCACTAGGCAGCAAGGTGGAGGTAGTGTACGATGAAGACGATGACCTAGAAAACTTCTAAGAGTGTCCGTTTCTACATTCAATGGAAACCACACATGTTACAATACGGGAGGCTCTTTTATTTTATTTTCCATTTTCTCGCAGGGAGAACATTTCAACTGATATATGTTTTAACGATTCATGGCCGGAAGAGCATGTCCCTGACATGGCTGGAGGTGATATGATAAATGAACGGCAGGGTGTATTGCAAATTTCTCGGTGCGGGATCTTTCGCCTCTTTTTTCTCTCCTGGGTTTCATGCTCCATGGCTGCATTCTTTCCGGATGTTTGTTTTTATTATGCTCTCATTTATGAGTTACTGGGATCTGTTTTCGTTTTTGTTTATGTAACAGCTTTTGATCTATGATGTCAATGGGGTGGTTGGTAGACTTGTAGCTCTAATGATTGGCATGATATGATATTTGGCCCTATCAAATCTCTTATGCGTTCAAATTATCAGGGACTAGTGATTAACAGCTTTGATTGTGCCATAGTCTAATCGGACCCGCTATAGCTCTCTTATCTGCTTCATCTCCCCAGCCCTCACCCTAAAATCAATGGCCGCTCCTCCAATGCCAATATTGGTATCATATTATTCTGATAGTATTTATGGCTTTAGCGTTGCGAAAGGTTTTAACATTCTATTCTTGGATGAGGTGCGGTACCGAAAAAGTAATTAGAAACTATGGAATTATATGATAGAGCCTAGAAAAGCTACTCACGTGGGTCCTTTATCTCACCGCGGATCTAATCAAATCTTTTCTCTACCATCGCATCGTATTCACCCCTCTGCCCCTCCAAGGCCCTGACAGCCATCCCATCACCGCCCCGCCCCCAATTATATCATAGGAAGGGCGCCTATCGCTAAACAAACGACCGATCGAATAGATCAACTGTAATCTAACCCCTCATTCGTTTCCCCCTTCTCCGTTTAGACTGGAAAACACTCCAAACATGTCTGAGCAACCAAACAACCCTCTATATTCCAATAGCAGCCGCGAGGCTCCTGATGATACGATCTCCCTACATTCCGCTGCACCCTCCTATACTTCCTCCCTCCCACCTCCTTACACTGATGGACCACCGTTGTCCCTACCACGTGCGCCCGAACGACGCTACAACTCACTGCTCACCCCTCTTCCCGAGAATTACAACGTCACCGCCTGGCCATCTCTTACGGGTTCTGGCCATCAAAGCAGAGCATATGAGAGTGTGGCAGAGCGCCGAACACGCCGAGACGAGGCGAGGATGCACGCAAACTCCCTCTTGGTCAGGGCCAACAATGTAATGCGCACGGAGACTCTACCAGCTGTCGAGGAGGCTCCACCTGCTGTATCGTTGGCTGAGGAAGGGAAGAGCTGGGACTTCCTTACCACGCAAATGGCGGATTGGGAATCGAGGGAAAAGAGCTGGAACGACTTTCGTGCAAGATTATCTAAGGATCAGAGCCGCATCCCTTTCCCCAAGAAAAGGGTGGGAACAGGCGGGAGGTTTGGGTGAGGGCCGATGGAACCATTCGTTCGATCTTCTGGGGCGCCATGGGGCCTGGCTTACATCTAGGCAGCCTGAATGCTTTGTCTACCATCGCTCGGGATACTACCGTAGTACCCTGGGAGATCAGGATTTGATTAGTTCCTGGGGTTTCGCACATTCATTCCTGGCGTGTTTTTATTCTTCTCCACAGTTCTTAGTGCATCTTTGCTTCTGGTAATCAATTTCAACCCTAAATGTATTGGCAGGTCTACTATATTTTCATTTTGCTCCTTTTTCATGTCGTCTATCTGATTATGCGGATCTACCTGTTTAACCTGCAGAACACATGAAATATCAACTTATTCATCATTAAACGCGGGCTGTAAATTAGACTACCCCTTACGCAGCTGCGAGAAGTTTTGCGCGACCCGGTGTACCATATTTGCCTAGTGGAGCGCCTAAGTATTAAGTTACGGAGCCGCACTATTCCTTACTATGTGGTATGGTGTCGAAGCGGTCGATTTGGGAGGGTATGTACGAGGTCAGTTTCCGGGCACCCCAAAAAAACACTCCGTCGGGTCTTCGAGGTGCCTGAAACCGGTGCACAGCAAGTTCATTCCGATTGTGGGGGTCGTTAGTTGATCTTGTTGAGTTTGCTTTAGCGCCCTGGTAGATTTAAGCTGCGAGCTGACCGATATTTGACGGACTCGAAAGATAGCTGTTAGACCAGGCACTTGGTTCTGTACTCGTACAATAAATGATTAATCGTGGATTGATGGTTCTGAACCACCGATCGAGAACAGCTACCGGTATCTGAGGACCGGCCCTTTTTCCATAATATCTAACTGTTTCTAGAATTCTCGTCCGAGGGTTACCCTGAGTCAAAATGAAATTGAAAGCAGGATTTAGACCGTGGGAACCCTCAGCGAGGCGGCACCCTCAGCGAGGCACGGCATGGCTTGGCTGAACTTGGCATGGCTTGGTGTGGAAAGCGAACAGCACATTGCTTTATATTTCAGCGAAGTCAACCTTTTTTTTTTTCTTTCTCCCGCTTTTAACACAACAGAAAATCCACAACACAAATTCCTCCGGAGAGATCATCTGCTTCGGAGGTTCAAACTACAAGCCGATCGACAAATCCCAGGATTCCTCTCCGGGAGCAGGGGCTGCATTAGCCCCTACTCCCTCTTCAAAACTCTCTTCAAATTCTTGTTCTGAAACGCATCCAATTGTTTCCTCTGATGGTCTATAAACTAATCCCTCAGTTCCTCCATCATGTGTGATATCCTTCTGAGCTTTTTCAAGTCTCAATACATTCCTTTCAGCTTTGGAAATTTGATCTGAAAGATGTTGTTCTTCTTGCTGTAACGCTGTACTAGTCTTTCAATGCTTGGGTAATCTTTCCTCCTGTTCAAGCTTCTCAGTCTCAATTCTTTTTCATGTACATTCTGCTAATTTCTGTGTTCTACTACTAAGCAGATAAGTAGTGTACTCACACTTCTTCATGATGGCTTGATGCTCACTGACTGCCTGAGATTCGAAAAATTCAGCAACATCCTGATAATCAATCCAAGCCTTTCCTGTAGTTGAAATTCTCATAGTACGATTTGCAATCCGCATACTTTGGATATCCGCTAACTGCTTCTTTAGATTTTCAATCTAACAGTCTTTTTCCTCGATTTCTGTAAGTGCCCGATTGGCACTTATGGTAATGTTGCTAATAATCTTTTTAGTCCCTACTCTGTTGGACCATTCCTCGATAATGTCGCAAGTGTAACAAGGTCTTGTTGCTTGATTTCGGGTTTGGTTTTTGGTACTACAAGGTTATTGATTTCCTGAGCAGTAAATGTACCAAGTGGCTGGGGGGTAGAGATAGTTAGATTGCTTGGATTTGTAGAATCAGAGTTTTGTGTGGGGGATTTGGGTCTAGATGCTTCAATTTTTGAGACCACAATGTCTCGGTTTACCGGAACAAGTCCTGTGCATCGAAATCTGCTTCTAATATTGCTGGGTGTAAAGGATGCTCAGCCTGCAATCATCAGGATCTCATAAAAGTTGGATTTGGAAACTCCATATTCATGTCATTCAAAGCAGCGAGTGAGTTCCTTTTGATACTGATGCTTGTATGGACTAAAGATACAAACATCTAGCAGCTGCAGGCGATGGGTGGTATGAGGCAGTAGACAATAGGGGATAATCTTCTGTAATACACACAATTCTAAAAATCTAATATTGATGTGACTACTATGTCCATCAAACAGTAGAAGTCGATAATCCCCTGCTGCCTTTTGTACTGTAATCGAATTGAAATTGAAATTTCAGTGAAGATATTCTCTTGCCATTTTTTCATCTGTCTATCCATTATGTAACCAGCCAAAAAGAATATCTTCTGGAATCTCCTTCATCTTCTTAAACCATTCTGCAATAAATTCCTCTGCCTTGAGGATAATTGTTGGATTTAGAACTGTACCAATGACACATATACCCTCGATCACAGTAACAAATTCATGGGTACCATCTATGATAGTATAAGTAACTTTTTTTAATAACTTATCCAAACAAAACTTAAATAATTTGAAAAAAATACTAACTTTGTGCTCGGTACTTTAATTGTCCACTCTCACGAGGATTTCGTACAACTTCTAGGACATGTTCTGACTACCCAAGACCAAGTAGAAATCCAACCTCATCAATATTATATATATTATGAGGTTTTATTTCATACTCATGTACAATAGCTCCTAACTTAATAAATACAGATACAATCAGTACTTATATAAAATTAAAATCAAATAATATAAATATTTAAACTTCAATAATAAAAAGAAATAATAATAATCATTGAGATAAAATATAAAAATAAAAATAAAAACAGGTTTAACTAGAGAAATACCTCATCAAAGAAATGATTTATTAATTGAAGATTGTTTTCATATATGTTGTGAATAAAATCCAACTGTTTGCTGAACCAAGTCTTAACTTCTGGGTGTCATTTTTTGAAAGCAGCTTCCCATCTCTTTCCTAAAACCTCATTTGGCTTCCTCCTTTGTACAACAGAGGTTGCAATTTCACGCAACTGCCAAATCGTTGGCGGGAATCCAAGACGACACTGAAAATAGCACCTCTCTATCACTATTCTCTCCTCTTCAGGCAGAAGCTTCTGCCTCCATTGACCCTCCTCTTCATGGTCTTTTCTTCCTTGTTGGCGATGCATCACAGTACTCAGAGCTGCTCCAACCATCGCCGCAACAATTGTTAAACTTGGAGACGTCCCAGCTGTAGCCATCTCAATTGCCATTTGTTCCAGTACCCGTACCAGAATCCCACAGTCTCTCGAAGGGTTCGAAGGCATAATTCAAGTATTTGTATCAATGAGATGTGGTAGAATGGGATGTCCAATTTTGTGACATACTCTTGTCGTTCAGTGACGAAACCTACTTTACTAACTATTCTAGATGCCAAGCCATGCCGCGGCTCGCTGAGGGTTCCCACGGTCTAATCTCGAGCAGTGCCTTCGATGTCCTGCGACACCCGCGCTTTTACCGGTTGAGAACCATAAGGAGAGGGTAACTGAAGCTCCGACACCAGTTTGGAGAACATACCGGTACATAGGTCCCCCGCGATCCAGTAGGTAGACTCAGAGTTAGAGGCAGTGATCGTCAGAAGAGCATTGACTCCGACAATAGTCTCAGACTCTCGCTCAACCAGTGGAGCCCATGTACCCAACTGCCGGACCATTCTATAAGCCCTACGTTAGGCCAGTATTTGGGGGTGTGTACGAGCAATAGGATTGCCCGTGGCGCACTATGCTTCATTCAGATACCGTAACCTCACGGTCTGTTTTCGCGTCGCGAGGGTTAGCAAGTCTTTGCACTCTGTTTGGTCGAGATTTGTTTGCGGTGCCTGTTTTCTGTGGGGGTACAATACTGCACTTGCAGTGCCAGAATCTCGCGACGCCAGAGCAGATAGTACCCAAATTTCGCTTGAACACAAGGCTCTAGGAGCGGTACGCCGGCCTCTCGATCCGCAAATAAAATGAAGTTATCGCCAACCGAATTTCAGATTCCGGTTCTCGGAAACGAGATTTAAGCTCACTCGCAGGCAGTGGCGCTGACGTCGATAAGTGGCATGTACCAGTACAATTACACTACCAGGTTCCTATGGGCACTGCTGCGCTATCCGTTCAACTGTCCAACGTACTAGTAGCGGGTGTCGCGCAAACGAAGCAGAAGGAAGACCTTTCATGGGCCCAGATTCAGATTCAGATGTCGGGATTGCTTTCCCCTTGTGCCGCTAGCCCCGTGGGTGGTTGGTTATAAACAACCGCTTTCCTTGTATGGAACACAGAGGTGAGGGGGGCAGTCGAGCGCTTAGGCTCGGGATTCTAGTGGAACAGAGCTTGCTATCGGGAGTGTCTCATTTATGGTGCATTTTACCGGACATGAACTCGTACTTTTGGAGACATCATAAATTGAAAGGAATTCACGACATAATCCAGTCCGCCAGTAAGGTTAATATACTACGAAGGGATAACCATCAGTCTCGTTTGGACCTTGGAACGTATCTTTAGCATTGATCCTCCTGATAATACCGCCCTCCCATTGCCGGCGGAGGACCCAAACTTCCGCTCATACAGGCGACCTGCTGACTAGTACTCTCTCTATCCTTTCTCTCGCTCTTTCCCATTCCTAATGAACCATTAGTTATCGCACGGCCCACCCGGTAAACACTAGAAGAGAGAAGGCCGCCAGGAGCCACAATAGCTGTTTTCCAAGGCCAACGTGATTTTGTATCGATCCTTGAGCTTGGGGAAGGAAGAGAGGCCGAGCCCAAGTTTCACAACTAGACTTCCGACAAGGCGAATTTCGTCTTTCGAGAGGTAAAGCGAGGCTACTAGAACCGTAAGCTAAGGACTCAACTCCCTGGGCTCTTACGATGCTTCCTCGATACAATATTTTTAGTAGGGCCGACGCTTTGGCGCCCAGACATTTCCCTGAAAATTCTGCCAGATAAACCTCTAGAGGTCCTATTATTATCCAATTCCCCGTATTCATAGATAGCACACAATTGAGCTGTTGGTTCTTTTTGAGATTCCACTCCTTCCACATAATCCCCTTTCTTTCCCCCATTTCCTCCTCGCTGTGACATCCCAAGGCTACTAACATAAACTACACAGTTCCCAAATTCCCCCATAAAATAACCTTAGGTAGCTGCGCACTATAACCCCCATAAGCCATCCCCAAACTGCCTTTAAGCCGAAGACAGTTTCCGGTGTGCCGTGATAAAGGTGCATACAGCTTTCTCTCATCCCTCATGAACTCGTAGTCCCACAGGTATCTGCTCGCCAAAACCAGTTGTCAGTCCCCGTCCTTTACCTATGTATAAATGACCGCACAACCACCCCTTGCTTGTGATAGTTGCACTTATCATACTTCTCACAACCTCGCAACACCGCCAGGGATACTTGTTTATAGGGATTTTTTTCATGGGCGATAGTTATCAACACAATTCCCCTATCATGAAGGCTGGCCAGGGAGAGTAGCTGCCTTATTATAACAAGCCGCTATACCTCTAGAACAGGCTCTTTATTTTAGCTAGTGAGTGTTAGAGGCGCCGCTCAGAAATTCAGAGTGCGCCACGAGGGGAAAAGGTACCGTAGGCTATGATACATGCTTTGCTAAACCGGGCATTTGCTGATGGTCTTCATCCGGGCGATTGAGTGGTGACACAACACGTGGCCTTGCCGTTCCAGTGACGGCTATTCAAAATACCGGTACGGGATAAACGGGGATCGAAGACTAAATGCACCGCTCTTGTCCCTGCGGACCCACAGGACTATATACGGTATCATACTATCGGTATGGGTTCCGCAGTCGGAGCCTAGACCCAATCTCATGCCGAGACTAGGCTCCTAGCCAAGTATAACCAACGCAAGCCCCATTTCGGCACTTCCCGAATGTGTGTTGAGAAGCCGGCTACCAGGATCATGAGAAGACACTACTTCCGACAGCGACCAACTGGGCCAACGAGTGATTTCTCACGATGATATCCGAAACCCTGGGGGCGACTGCCTTATGTCTCATAAGGATTAGCGCTGATCCCCGATATTATATGGGGTCAGAGAATGATTTCCAAAACTTTCCCCGGATATACTGCATCTGTTCTGTCAGTCCGGTAGATTTGTTCCCGACCGGGCACATACTGTATGATCGCGTTCCATAATCACCGGCTCTAGAACTACCCGATACCCCATCCCTGGTGTGATGGGGAATATCCCCCTCTCGGTTTCTCCTGAGCCAACGCGTCAAGTGATCTACATAGTATGATGCTTTGCAATGTCCTACGGTAATAATGGTGGGGTTTTTTTTCCAGGGGGGTACATTGCCTATCGTCTCGCGCCAAATCCTATTCCAACATGCCCTAGGCTACTTCCATAGAAAGCTTGCATGCAAAGCCCCCACCAGTCTATATCGTTGAAGGTTTCTATGAAAACGCGACACCCTCTTCGCTGCCTGCACCGGCGGAACATTGAGGGTGACATTTGATCGCCGGTCGTATACTTCACACCAAAGATGATGCTTTTCGTACGATTAAAGCACAACCAGAAGCTGTTCGATTAGTGATATTTTTCGCTCGGCGAAACAACTAGCTATATGATAAGCATGTCAGGATCTGAGCAACATAGCCGCAAGTCCGAAGCTTGCGTGAGCCCCCGGAACTGGAAATACTCGAAACAGAGCCTCTTTATATAAGTCGCCGTGTTTGAATTCGAGGTATCGGGACCAGATCTCCAAGCTCTTCTACCACAAGTATGACACCCGGGCGGCCCGGGGAATGGGGTTCCCGGGTGCGACGCAAGTGGTAAAATATTAATCTCTGGGTTCCGGGTCATTTGAATGCATAATTCGGTCGGAATCGATGAAGGTGCCAACAGAGAGAACTCCAACAGCCCATACCCCGTTTTGGTGCGGTTTTGCTGCCCCACAACGAGGCACAAGTACGGTGGGCGGCGAGCATTGAGTTAGGTCCAAAGAAGAAGCCACGCCGCACCAGTACCACTACCACGATTACAGACCCTGAATATTGAATGCTTAATCGGAGAGGGAGAGTAACGACAAACTCACTTTTTCTTTTTACCTGCCATGAAAAAATGCCCCGATTTACAAAGGAACAATCTCATGTGGGTCATCAATAACGAAAAAAAGTAGGATTGGTTGTGAGGATTCCACCATTTAGATGGTAACCCCCTCGTTTTTGATGTTTGGCTTGACCCACTGAAAGATGCTGTGTCCCTACCAGTCCAAATCCAGCAGAGTACGATATCTTGGCTACTACTCTCCCCACAAGCAGTCGGCAGTGATATGTGCGTTGGGGGTCATGAACCGGACACCAAAGATCGTGGCGATTAGCCTATCATAACTACTTTCACCCTCCTGTAAAAATTTGATGGGTGACTTTGTTGCTCGAGTGATTACGCATGATCGACTCCCAGGGCCAGGGGGTAAAGTCTTGGCAGCCGATGAGGCTCATGCAAACTAACGGATCGACGACTTCAACGAAAACCTTACAATCATCCAAAGCAGCGCAGCTCCATATTCTCCGCAACACCGAGCAAAGCAGGCATCTTCCACGTCCTCCATCTTACCACCTCCATCCAACCAAGCTTATCCAAGATTAAACCTCAGCGCGGATACAATGGCTGAACTCCTCAACAAGCCCCGCTCAGAACTCACGTTTGTTTATCCTCTTCTCCCTTCATCTTCTCTATCTCACTAACTTCTACAGTGAGTATGAAATAGCCGAACTAGAAAAATACGAATTCTCCGCCGGCCCCCTCTCAATTCTACAAACTGCCGTTCGCTCTCACAATCAAGTCCTTATTTCCTGCCGTAACAACCGCAAGCTCCTCGCGCGTGTAAAGGCATTCGACAGGCACTGCAACATGGTTCTCGAGAATGTTAAGGAGATGTGGACTGAGACGCCGCGAAAGGCTGATGGGAAGAAGGGTAGACCTGTCAATAAGGATAGGTTCATCAGTAAGATGTGAGATCCTCTAACATATTCGCGATACCTTAGAGACTAATGTGGAGATAGGTTCCTGAGGGGCGACTCGGTCATCTTGGTGCTGCTGAGTTAGGCGGGCTAGGGTCAAGTGGCATGGCAGTGTAGTATATTAAAGTCTGAGATGAACTGTTGAATTGGGGAGCGAGGCCTGTTGAACGATAATGCCTTTGTGCTTTGATGAGAATATATATTTTTACGTGTAATAGCTTCGCTGAAACCGTCTACTTGGGGGTTTTGCATGATTTTGCCGAGGTCACATGAAAGTGGTGTTGGTACAGGCAGAAAGCCATTAGACCACTCGTATCGTGCCAATCATATTGAAACATTGCACCGTTGATTGACAGAAACGCTTGTGACGAGCATCGCAGGGTTAGGGGTTTTTTTTGCCCATTTCAGAGCTTCGCATTGCCCGGGCACCAGTACTGTACCAGTACAGCCGCTCGCCAAGTGGCCTACCCCATCTATCTTGCCAACCCCCTTTCCGTGAGTTTCTCAACTCCTTTTACACAATGGATGACCTTGCAGGGCTCGCATGGAATTCTTCTTCCTCTTCGTCCAAACCGCCACCTCCACTGAAACCAACATCTCCAGCTCCGTTCAATGCACGACCGTCTCCCCTATCCTCACGCACAGTTTCTCCCGCAAATGCCACCACAAAACCTCCGCCGGCAGGCGATAGCTTTAGCAATCTCGTCTCCTTTGGCCGGAGCAAAGCAAACGACAGCAACATAACACTACGGGAACGACAGAAGCTGCTGCAGGAGCAGAGGGCTAAGGAAGAGGAAGAACGGCGGAAGAAGATGGACTCCTTGTTTGGTGATGGTGGAGGGGGGGCGAATGCTGGGTTTTGGGACTCGCTTGAGACGGGGAGGGTGTCTCCGATGCCAGTGAAGAAGATTGATGACGATGAGGAGGATCTTTTAGCGGCTTTCAGTGCTACTGCTCCGGTTGACAATAGCTCTTATTACCCCCCTCCAATCGGGAGTGGGGTTTCGACGCCGCTACAGTCGGTAGAGCCTACGCCTGTTGTTATGGTTGAATCTGCAAACTCCGGAATAGGTTCGAGGAATGATATAAATGATATAATGGATCCGTTTGATCTTGATAATTTACCTTCTAGGGATCCATCTCCGTTCAACCAGCAGCACAGCTCTTCTAACGCATTCGGCGACGACGATATTCTCGGGGATCTAGGGAAACCGGTCGAAGCGTTACCGCCCAAGCCCTCGCCAAGGATGGAAGAACCCCCTTTTCCGCTGCCGGGAAATGATCCACGGGATCCGGCAATTGCAGAAATCGTGGACATGGGATTTACGGTTGAGCAGGCTAAGAAGGCGCTCGTAGAAACGGACACAGGCCTCGATGTTACGGCTGCGGTGGGTTGGTTATTGGAAGATGCACATAGGAAGAGTAGGCCTGCATCTGCGAATCCCCCCGGGTCCAGGAGCGGTTCGCGGGCTGGGCAAGAGGGATGTGTAGACCCCCCAAGGAGGCGGAGGGATGATAGTGGGCAACCGGCATGGATGAGAGACGGGAGCTGTGAAACCCAAGAGAAGGATATTGGGCAGATGGCTTCACAGATTGGCGGAACACTGTTCAAATCCGCTAATAGTCTCTGGAATACTGGAAAAAAGAGGGTCGGGAAGGCGATTGCAGAGCTTCAAGATGGTAACACAAATGACGGAGGAGACCCAAACATCCCCAAGTGGATGAGAGATGCGCAGCAACATCAATTGGAGACTGCCGTATCTAGTGAGAAGTGGGACAGGGGCAACTTTGCTGAAGAAGATATGAGGCCTGCAAGGCCGGCCCAAAGGGAGAAAGCTCCTGAGCCATTACTAACTGAGGAAGCCCTTATGCTCGAAGCTGGCAGCGGGCCCCTGCCAAGGAGAAGGCAAGAAAAGGAGAAACCATCCAGAGTTCTGTCCGAGAAGGAGCAAATACAGCTGCAAAGACAGCAGGCTTTTGAAGCTGCAATTCGACAGAAGGAACAGGAAATGCGAGAGAGAGAACGGCCTCGCCAAACCCCATCGCCTGCAGCTTCTATCCCCAACAGTAGCGACAGGAGGGCGAAATTGGCTCGTGGAGCAGCAGAGGAAGATAGCGCAGTTCAATATGTTTCGAAGAACCGGCGAAGACCACCGCCACCCTCATCTTCTTCCACCGGATCAATTTCGAAACCCGCGACACCCGAGCCGCCCATGGGAGACCTTCTGTTCGGCGGCTCGCGTGCGCCGAGAGAACCCTCTCGAAATCCCTTTCTTCAACAACAGCAGCAGCAACAGCAACGACTGACCCCTTCACCCGCTTCCCGGTGCCCAACCCCTAGCACAACAACGCCAATTGTCACTCGCCCAACCCCCAACCGCCCAGTGGTGCCGATATCACAACAGGTTCTTCAAACATCCTCCGTCTCTCGCCAAAAGGGCACCGACTCCTTTAGACGTGGAGACTACCCCACAGCCCTGGCCCACTACACCTCCGCATTAAACCAGATACCCCCCCTACACCCAATTCGCATAATAATCCTCTCAAACCGCGCTCTATGCAACCTCAAAATCGGCGATAGTCGTGCAGTACTTGCAGACTGCGACGAAGCACTTGGAATAATCGGACCCAGCAATGGCGAAAGCGAGACTATCACGCTAGAAGACGGGACGAAGAAGGACATGAAAGAGCTATTCGGAAAAACACTCACCAGGAAAGCCGAGGGGTACGAGCACATGGAGAAGTGGGCTGAGGCTCTAAAAACCTGGACACAGGCCGTAGAAGCCAGTGCTGGCGGAGCAATCGCGATATCCGGGAAACGCCGCTGCGAGGCTGCCCTCCAACCCAAGCCTGCGCCGAAGCCAAAGCCTACCGCCCCTGCTCCGCCCACTGCCCGACGCGCTCCTCCCCGCTCATCCCAGTCCACCAGCGGCGGTCGCGGTGAAGCAGCACGCGTAACCGCCCTCCGCCAAGCAAACGCCGCGGCAGACAAAGTCGAAGAAGAAAAACTAGCGCTCCACGACAGAGTTGAGGACCGCGTAAACGCTTGGAAATCCGGCAAGGAGGGTAACCTGCGCGCCTTGCTGGCGAGTCTGGACACCGTGCTCTGGGAGGGGAATGGATGGAAGAAGGTTGGCATGGGGGAGCTGCTGATGCCGAATAAGTGTAAGATTGCATACATGAAGGGGATTGGAAAGGTCCATCCTGATAAGGTAGTATCCCCCCTCCCAACTGTAATAATATGTGGATGGGCGGATGATGACAGATGGATTGGGGGGCTAACGATGGGTTAGATTTCACTGGAGGCGTCGACGGAGCAAAAGATGATTTCTGCAGCGGTTTTCACACTGCTGAACGAGGCTTGGGATAAATTCAAGGCAGAAAATGGGCTGTAAAGGGCGATGTGGTAGAAGTCATAGATTTGTTTTTAGCGTTGATTGGGTTGGCCGGTTAGCTGATGGAGGGGCCGGCTCGATTGGTTAGCCGATCCCATCGAGTCCATGATGGCTTGTACGTGGATGGTAACTGCAGCTGTGCGTTTAACCTCTAGTATTTTATGTAGCGCAGACAAAAAAGGAAGATGTCATAAAAGAAAGACCAAAACTAGCTTATACACACCGCTCCCGCAAAAACGAAACTAGCAGATCTGTGAAAGGTTGCTAAAGCATAAATCTCCACCCTCTGCCCACCCTCCCCTCCATAGCCTCCTTCCTATCCCTCTCCCTATTTGCCCTGTTAAGTCTCCACCTCTGCACCCCGACGAGTAGCACAACCACCGCCATCGCAGTACCACACACCGCCATTCCACGAACGTAGTACGGCCCCTCATCCTCCGGGTACAACCTAGTCCCCAGCAACGGCCCACACTGACCCACAGCCTGTAATATCGCCATTCCCGTGCCGCGGCCGCTCTCGCTCTCGCTATTATTCACGTTCCATACCATCACCAGGGCGATGGCGGAGAATATGCCACCGGCAGCGAGGAAGATGGAGACGTATTTTACCGCTAGAGCGCCCGCCGCATTCTCCTGCAACCAGGTGGATGCGGCGCCGGAGGATATCCAGTCTCCGAACGAGTTCGCGGGCGCTTCGGAGTCGAGATTTGTGATTGCTGAGGCTAGCGAGGATTGGATGTGGGAGGTCGCGGCCAGGGTAAAGTACCCGAGGGAGGCTATTAGACTGAGGATCAGGATTGGGTAGGAGCGACTGCCGAGGCGGTCCGAAAGGTAGGTTGAAAGGAGGACAAGAAAGAAGGCGAAGAGGTAGGGGGGCGCGGAGAGGGCTTGGGCGTGGATGGAGGTGTAACCCATACTAGATTCATTCGTTACCCTGGGGTTAGAGCACACGGGGGGGGGGGCGCGGGGGGGTTACTCTCTGAGTATAGTTGGCAGAAACACAGGCAGTGATGAGAAGGAGACGTTACAGAAGAAAAACATAAACTATCACTCGTTATATTAGCTTCCGTCAACCCGAAAGTCCCAACGACACCCACCGCAGTAACCCAGTTCCCCACATCCCTTATTGCATTCCACACCTGGCCCCATCTCACACCACGGCCTTCCTCCTCACCCATGATAACCTCCTCCTCGTCATCCCCATCTCTAACAACCAGCAATCGCCGCCTGGCAATCTTCTTTTGCTCAAGCGTCAAGAACCCAGCATCAGCCGGGGAGTCTGGAATGTGATAATACGAGATTACAGCCATAATCATCGACGGGAAACCCTCGAGTATGAAGAGTAGTCTCCAGGGGGGCGATAGGAGAGGGTATGGATGTGATCCCGTATGCTAAGAACCCCGAGTACGCTGTTGCCAATGGCGCCGCAGAGATGAATAGGCCAGTACGGAGAGCTAGCTCCTGCCTTACTATTAACACGCACCTTCTTGGCGGAATAGACGGGAGAAAGCTACCTCACGGCGGTAGAAAAATGATAGATAAAATGGTACACCTGGAAGGTTAGAGAGATCCGTGACGACTCCTACAGGCACATACCTGGCCCAAAAGCTGCTTCTGTGATCCCTAGCAAGGCACGTAGGACAAGCATGGTTCCCCAGTTGATTGCTAGCCCTTCTGTGTTTCGCTATAATATCAGATGTGGTATTTGGTAGTTGGGCCGAGTGGCAACTTACGCAGGCATGCTACGGAGCCCCAGCTGCTCCTTGTCAGCGATAATGAACAATCAGAAATTCAGGCCGCGGGGGAAGGGGGAAGGGGGGAGGTACCCGGCGACGCAGCAAGCAATGTACTTATGCGCTGGGAAGACTTTCCAGCAGAGTGTCATCCACTCGAATAACTACCACTAATTAGCCAAGCTCTGAGATGTTTTCTGGTAGTATGCGGGGAACGAGCAATGTAGGTTATGTAAAATACAGTGAGTAGCCACTCGTAATTATCATCTTCGAGACCCAAATCCTCCGTCATGCCAGCGATCCGTGCCTAATCCCATTAGCACATCCCGTTCACCCCACGGCCGTACTTCCCAGCATGACAATCCCAGAGGAGAAAAAGCAACCCACATTCCCAATGTCTAACCAAACAAGAAAAATCAGCACAATTCCAACCTTTGCCGGGAAAGAGGAGAACATACTACTCCTGTCCAAAAAACTCAACATATACAACACCGACAGAAAAAGCACCAGATACCAATCCAACCGGCAAACAACTGCCCTTTCCTGGGCTGCGCTATAAAAAAATTCCTTCTTGCCCCGTCTCCTCTCCCGTCTCCGTATTTCCATGGAGTCCTCTTCCTCTCCCTCTCCGTCACTCTCCTGGAAACTCTCATACAGCACATCCTCCCGCGCCCCGTGGCCACCCCGCCGCGTGGATACCTGTTCGGGGATTAAGGCCCCACGCTCATTGTCATCATTGTCACCGTCTTCATCTTCGTCGGTTGCGAGGGGAGGGCGAGATAAGGTGCGGAGTTCGTAGCCTTCTTCTTGGTCGACGGCGCTCGAGAATTGGTCATTCGAGGAGGTGGGTGATGGGGGAAAGCTGGGGTTGCCTGTGCCGGCGGAAGTGAGTGCCAGGTTTAGTGGGGTGGCCATTTAAGTTGATTTTGGATAGGGTGAGGTGGAGAACATTTGCAATGGGAGCGTGTTTGGTTCCGGGGACTTTGGGTAGAGGGGTGATTGAGGAATAAGCTCTAGATGGATGGTTTGGCTACGTTTGGATTACCGGTGGTGAGGTTGCATCGGAGAGTGGGCCCGGCTTGGCGTGGGGGAGACTTACGGTAAGGCCGTACTGTATATACGGTACAATCCGAGTACTTTATTACACTGATAAAGTTAGGGGACGGGGGTACGACTGAATATTCTATCTTGCGGGTCTATAGCTGTGACCTCGTCAGTCAAATCCTAGTCTGTCTCAATACTTCTCTCTTCACCCCTCACGAGCAGTAACATTGCAGTATGCAGTACTTGTAAACCTAGCGCAGACTTTGGAAGTGATAACCAGCCTGTGGCGAGAGGCTTAACTTAAACTCCAAATCTTAGTCTATCCAGTGCCAAGGTTCTGCATACGGTAGCCAGGAATACCCATGTTCAGGCCTAACCCCTGTCCGCACAGGAGTTGACATCCGTATCTACCGGTATGCTGAGAAATACCGTACTTCCGTGGCAGGAGGGGGCGGGGCGGTGGGGCTTTCATGGGCTGTTTGCGACGATCCCAGATAACAAGAGAAGATACCGGGCCTTTCCCTTCTGCCCTGCATTCTCACAAGCCTTCGGGAAAGGGGATAGTATCAGGATTTCGTGGAAACAGATCGTACAGCGGATAATATCATACAGAGATTACGATATGAACGAGTGTAAAACTGAACACGCCGAAGCGAGGGGACATTCAAACCTAAAGGCCAGCTGCGAGCCCAACTACCTGTATCATGCCTTGTCACTCAATAAATTGACTTCACATGACACCGAATGGCATGAAATACCGGTAGTTTCAATGCAGAGGGGAAACGAGTCTACCTACAACGCCAAATACATAATCCCCCTGTACCCAAATAACTAATCCTAGCTAGGCCATTCTTGCGTGAATACTCTCAGAATGATACGAGCATTAACTTATAACCCCTTCTTCGCCAACTCTCCCTCCTCAGAGAAGCATAGGGCACCCAAAGCAAGCGTCTCCTGATGCTACCCAGCTTCTCTCATACTTGCTCGACGGACGGCAGCATCCTCTCTAACGACCAGATTCCCACTGTTCGCGTCTTCACTGCAGGGCAGGAATTGATCGCAGTCCTTCCATGTCCTCACTGTTGTCTGTTACTCTACCATAGTAAGGCAAAGGAAACGGATAAATAAGGGGCAGACTTGTTTTATTAGGATCACAGTGGAAAAGCACCCCACGAACCACGGTATTATGTGGTGCATTTCCGGTCCGCACCAGCCATAACCTTTCGTTCAGCAGTTCGGCCACAAATTCATCTTCCTTGCTGCCCCCGCCCTATTCACTGCACACCTAGTGCGCGTGCTGTTGCGAGTAAGCGCTTGGGCGACCTAGTTACCGCTGGCCAGCGTTTCGAAATATCGGACGGGCGGAGCCACCTCTCTGTATACAATAATGTAAATTTTCACACCGGCCTCTGCTCTCCTCTTCAAGGTTTCATCAAGCCGCCACTCCATATTGTGGTGCAGGGGCGTGCAGGGGCCGCCGGAGGAACTACGGTACTCGTGTACGCAGTAGTTCCCGCACAAGCCCATCTAGGCACAGCATCGTGTTCCCGCCAAGTCGGGAGAAAGCCACCAATCCGCAATGTAAATGACTTCCTGTACTCGAGTACCCCGTCTGGCTCCACGGACGCGGCCCAAAAGTAGTCCCACATACAAGCACCGGTACCACTTGACCCCACCACCCAGGAAGAGTGGGAAGAAGGGGATACGATTGATGAGGGAATTCGCCTCTTATGTTTTGGATAATAGGATAAACTTTCCTGTAGTGATGGGGATTTTTCCCTTTATGAGATTTACCAATTTGGCTTCATGATGTTTATGATGTTTTCATTGATGCTTGGGATGATTTGCTTTTATCGTTTATTTGGTATGTTTGTAGGGACAAGAAGCTTCTCTTGTGATGAGGGTTTTTAGGCCATACCCTGGGGTGCATGCCATGGATTTTCCCATAGTTAGCGATGAATAAACCACGGATTTAACAAAAAAAATAATAATTTGACCCCACCTCCAATTCTGGTCTCAGCAAAGCTTTTCGCGTCGATTTGCTCCCTCTTCTCATCCGAAAGCCCCTCATGCCTCATGTAGTTCATGGTAGCGCTGGTCCCCACTAACCGGGTTCTTGTATTTCGGTTTTTGAGGTGGACTATTTGGACAATCATATTGAAAATGCGGGTGGAACGAGAGGGTCGCCGAGGCTTGTTACTTTTAGGGCCAGACGCGGTCCCGTTTTCGGGGTGATCCTGGAGGTATTAGGTGATGGGGCAGGAAGGGCGGGTTATATTGTGAGAAGTATGATAGGAGGGCTCCTTATACCGGTATGATATACTCGACACAATTTTCATCGAAAGGCATAATGCTCCGGGGCAATCAAGGCGATGTTGGAGGAGGGAAGGGAAGGAGGAATACCGGTAACCCAGGAAGGGGAAACCTGGATTAAAAGCCTTCCTCCACCCGCCCATCCCGCAACTCTCTATCCATATCATACTCCAGAGCCCAGACTCGAAATCCGAGACTGATGTCGAGGGGCGGAATAATATCATAATACCTGCCAAACTTCACTCATACCGGCACTCCATGACTGAGGGTTCGCCGAAACTCTACCGGTATGCCAAATCCCAGCGCCGGTGTTTCGCCTACCGGTACTCGAGTAAAACCGGTACCGTATGCGACTTTCAGGGTCGTCACGACGAATACGGTAGCGTGACTTCCCCATAATTACCCGTACCGCTAATCGTATCGGCCCAAGTTGGTCTTGTAAACCACAGATCGATCTCACGGTACGGTACGGGGGATTCCTCCAAATTCCCCAAATCGGAGACAGCCATTCTGAAGGTAAAAGAGCTACTAGCAGCAAGCAGCGCAGGGAGTGTTGCCCGCTTATCCAAAAGCCACAACCGATTGTGCGGACAAGGACTACGGTAGTGGGCCCGTTTATGAATGCCAACTCGAGGGTGCTGGCTTAGTGGGGGAGGGTCTGCGGGTGCTGAAGCACTGGAGCGCCATATCTGTGATGCCAGAAAATGGGGGGGCTAGCATCGATTCCCCAAATTCTCTTTTCGCTGCCAAAAGAAGCGAAGAATCTTGCCTCCCGCCCGAAGGCAAAGGTGCCAGAGTCAACCAGCGAAGCTCCCCCTGGCTAGACGGAGCTGCATCCGGTAGTCTACGGAAGCTGTGAGCTGGCAATTCGCATGGCTTTGTTCGGCGTGGTCATGATTTCGAAACGGAGTCCCCAACCTAACTTCGGTGGAATGCCAGGTCCCAGGGTTCCAATTACTTGCCGGAAATCAGTGCCGTACCGTAGGATAACAGAGGAGCACCATGCTCCTACGAGCAAGGCGGCGGGCCCCGGTATGATAGATCAGTGAGTAATGAACAACGCTATCACAATGATGGCCCTCACGCTCTGTGGTCCGATGTCCCGTCTGGCCGCTCGAGCCCACACGTGGGGAATCGGCAGCGGGGTCACGGGATCGGGAAAACCAGTCAAGAACCCGTAAAAAAAAAAGAGTCTCTCAATCCGGGAACTTCCACAATTGGCTCTCAAGGTAGGGTAGATAGCAGTAGTAAGGAACGATCCTCGAGATAGCGGTAGTGTATAGAATCGGACGCTTGTTCGCCATAATTTCCAGCTGCATGCGCATGTGCTCGAACACAGTGCCGTACCGATGCTCGAATTGTCTTGAATCGTCCGAGCCGAACAACACAACCGAATGGCCAAAGACCATTCCCGCCTCAGCCAGGTCCAGCCTTTATCATCAGTACCAGTATCAGGGCGTTATTGCCGTCGGTAGCGGTGAGTTCCTATCCTCCAATAGTCTCATAGTGCTTCAATAATTCGGATTTTGGGTATCCGAAATTTCATGAAAACACCCAGCACACTAAACCCATTTGCCAGTATCCCTGCCTGGCCCACACGCCCCCCCGCCCCCTCCCAACAGGAGGAGGGCTTTCGGGGCCTCGCATCGAGGGAGACGCTTTAGACTACACAAAGCACTGCTTCGAGCATCGCCATGGCGCACGCGTAGAGTGCTGAATTTAACCAGCCACCTAGAAGTATCAATACAGTCGCACCTCGCTATCCCGGCCAAAATCCGAAGAATTATCCGAAGAATTAGTCCGGTACAGCGAGGGGTCCGGGACAGCGGGTGAGGTTTTGGTGGAAAGAAATTCAGAGTTCACAGAGATTCATACGGGACAGCGAGGCATCCGGATTGTCGAGATCCGGGACAGCGGGGTGTGACTGTACTGACATTAAGCTTAAGCCCAATGTCCTCCCTGCCCGCCCACCGTACGAGTGGGCGCTGGGGTAAAACAATGCCCCCACGAACAACGGAGCAGTCTGCCGTAATACCACTACTCGTAGACAACCCGAAAAAAAAAGAAAAGAAAAAAACAATGCAATTTATGGGTTATTCCTGTGTTCTACTCAAGTACGGTACTCGAGTATTCGATATCGGCGCTAGATTCATCTTTATCCTAGTGGTAAAAGGATCCTCTGGCCGTCGACTGGATAGAGTTCACAAAAAGCCATGTTCATCTAGAATCTCAATTCCCAATCTCGGTTCTCCCTATGGAGATCTACCGAGCCGACGATGCCAAGACACTGTGGCACTCGGAGCCTCCCAGGCCCTGGTTTGGTTATGGTGATAAGCCTAACTTAACCTCGTGTTATCCCTACTTCTTCCCCCCCCCAAATTCCTTCCCCCATTCTATTCACTCACCATCAACCCTATACTGCTCCGTTCTACCTCCCTACCATGCCTACTGCCGCTACATCGGTAGCTGAGACGACCACTCCAGAACCAGCAAAGAAACGGGCCTGTCCTCCAAAGAACTGCCCCTGCGAGTGGTGCGGCGCAGTGTTTTCCAAGTCAGGACTCGGGAGGCATTATGATTACTGGGTTTACTCCGTGAGCCCCGGAAAACCCGACGAAAAGCATACGCCCGATGCTATTCAACGGATGAGGGAGATCCGGAAGGACGCTAGGAGGCTTAAGGGGTGTGATAAACTTGATCCGAAGGAGGTGAGCTTCCGCGTCCCATCAAGCGGCCCATATCTCCTTTTTCCAGAATGATGTTGTTAATTGCAGCAATGCTGTAATGATAATATAGATCAAATCCCGTCAGAATAAGAGAAACTACGAACGCCATAAAGGTCGACACGTTGAAAAGAAGCGCGCCAAAAGGATGTCCGAGATGGCAAGGAGCATGGTTTTGAAGGAGATTGCTATGGAGATTTCAGCAATGTAAACCTCCCCGTTCCTCTCTCGATTAATTTCTATTTATCCACTTGATTTCCTAATAGTACCACTACCCCTTCCTCCCCAACCCTGGAACCGGATTCCGAGGGCCTTGTCAACTTTCCGGCGTTGGTCTACGCATTTGTCTCTCCTCGCTCAGACGTATCCTCCTCCGCACGTAACCGCAGCCTCAGCTCTTGGGGCGACCAAATTCCCGGAGACACGGAGTACGCTGAGCTCGTTGCAAAATTCAAACAACCGGACCTCAGCAAGTGGTCTCAGAGGCTAGACCAAGAGTGGCAAAATTGGGGATCGCTATCAGAGCTCGAGAAGAGCAAGCTTTGTTTCCAGGAAATGGGCCGTGCCTTATCGAGGAGCCAGGCGGATGCCGCTGCATACAAGCCGTACGCAAGGATTCTCGGTAAATTAGGAGGTGAAGAGTTGGGGAATAGGATTATTAAATGGGAAGGCAGAGCTACCCAGCTTCGCGCCCAAAAAGGGAGAGCTGAAGAGCTCCAACTGGAGAAGGAATGGATGGTCACTAGAGATGACCAGCATCTCAGCCATGACAACGCCCCGACCGAAGGGGGGGCCTCGGGCAGCGGTGAGGGCAATTGGCGCAATGGTAGGAGGGGTGGAAGTGATTCGGGAGCATCAAGCTCCGGGGATGACACCGATTAGCCACGATTGGTAACAGTTTATTTGACTGCCGGTATATCCTTCAAAAAGGAGACTACCAACCGATCGCTTTGCCATAGCAGCTATTCAGCAAAAATGTCAGCAAAAAAAAAAAAAAAAACATACACAAATATGGCTCACCAACAGCACAAATTTGTTGTATTAACGAATAATGACCTCCATCTATAGTTAGCTTCTTGTTTTTGTTTCTGCTTTTGCCCCTGACCTCTTCCCCTTTGATGGGCCCATTCTTGTCCATCTCGTGTCCTGAGATGCTACCCCCTTTTCCCGGAAAAGAAAAAACGCAAGCTTTCAGCTGGTATTTGTTGTTCCCGTAGGTAGGAATGAATTGGATCCTTTGGGAGTGGTGGTAGCATGCTTACTGGTTTTTTACACATATAGTCTGCGATTAACTGTTTCAGGGTATGATACTCAAATTGATAAGTCTTTTGTTGTTGTTCTTTCGTCCATTTGAAGAAAAAGAAAAAAAAGAAAAAAAATCCCCCACCCGGGGCCTGTTGGAACCGAGACCAGGTTAGATCTCTGATTATTTCTTATTTTTTTTTTACGCATGTAAAAGGCGTCGCGGTAGTCAGGTTATGTGATGCTACGATATGTAGATTTGCTAGGGCGCGGAGTCGGTTATAGGCAAGTTTTAAAGGATGCCGAGTAGGGCGGTTCAGCTGGGGGGGTATTCAAAGTTTGGGTGATCCAGCGCCAGGGAAGTTTTCTGAAATTGGGTTCACTGAGGAGTGCTCATAGGATGTCGAGTCGGGTGATTCAACTAAGGGGATATGGTAATAAGTTAAAGGCGTATTAATAATCAATTCATCTGCACTTCTCGTGACCCGCTCGCATGATACTCGACAACTTATCATGGTCCATGTTGTCGATATGGAGGTCCCCAGGCAAGAGCACCAAAATAAGATTGCTGGCACAGTATATCACTCGTAATTGGGAAAAGTTAGCGTGGGGTTAACATCAAACCGATGCCAGGGCAGGCTACCATACTTGGCATCGTGTTGGCTGCTCGGACTCGGGCACCGTACTGTACGGCCAAACAACCGTCATGCCGGGGGCCTAAAGGTTCGGTGGGCTGAAAGAAACTCGTCGGGTTCCCCCCCCCCTCACTGGCCCTTCCAGAGCTTGATAGTCCTGAGCAGACCATAGACTCGGATGGACAGCAGTCACTTCCGATTCACTCCTACGCCCATAGACTACTGTACTCCAGTACAGTAACAGTTTCCCGAGTTCCCTAGTCACGGACCACATGACGGTAAAGCAAAAGCTGGGGTTACGTCATGCGAGATCCCATTCCTCAGCTCCCGTGCGACTGAAGTGACATCATCGGGAGATGGTCGTGACACTATCCTACAGTAATTGTCAGCGTGGGCCACAGCTGCTCCCACTCGGCGCTCTGAACACTTGGGAGGATGTAAATTTAGTGCCTATTGATAACCTTTGGCCTCGAGAAAACAATATTCACCGGTTTCGCTTGTAGAAGGAAAAATTATTATTTTCAGTTTGTTCCCGAACAGGACCGCCGGCCACTTTGGACGGGATACCTTCACGACGAACTGGACACTGGATCCTACGATAGAGCCCTTCAACACCTCATCATGCTCGGAGCCAGCTGAAGTAAATTTGGCATGTGGTCTCGTGGGGGATAACGTAAGATTGTTTTCCACATCCCGAAACCGTAGTCTAAGCGACGACCCGATCCGTCAAGCGTACCGTACCGGTGCCACCCGTACCCGTTCGGCACTCACCGATTCTGAAAAGTTTTATCATGTCGGGAAGACGTTTTGGCACGGGTGAGATCTGGGAGGTGCCAAGGCTTTCTGGATGATACTTTTGGAACGGACGAGTAACTTACTTGTATTCCTTCGTTTGATTCCGAATTTCACAACTTTTTAGCGTGAGATTGGCGTTGCGATTGGCAGAAACTAAACTTTGTAAAGGAAGCGTCTGATGTTAATACTAAGGGGAATATGGACTAGGTTAGGTGACAACTATTCTGAATCCGTTGGAGGAGTACTCGTACAGTAGAGGAGGGCTGCATGGCCCAGGCATGTAATTCTGATTGATCTCACTGATGGAAAATCAGTCTTTGAGTTGAAGTTCCATCGCTAAATTAAAGGTCAGTCTCTAAGTTGAAGGTTGTTTCTGAGTTGAAGGTCGGTCTCTAAGCTGAAGGCTAGTCTCCAAGTTGAATGTCAGTCTCTACCTTAAATGGCAGTTATACGGTCTTCCAGTTGAACAGCAGTCTCCCAGTTGAGTGATATTTGGAGCAAAAATGGCCGAACATGAAGTGTGTAAAACACTAGCAAAAAATACAAGTAAAAAAACACAAGCAAAATCATACACAAAAACATTAGAGAAAGTAGAAAAGAATATATGAGACAAATGACGAATAAGAAAAAAGAGAGAGAAAGAAAATACAAAAGAACAGATAAGAGAAAGTAAAAGCAAGAAAGTAAAAGGGAGAAACAGAGAGAGAGAGAGAGAGAGAGAGAGAGAGAGAGAGAGAGAGAGAGAGAGAAGAAGTAAGTAAGTAAGTAAGTAAGTAAGTAAGTAAGTAAGTAGT